ACATTGAAAAATCTATGGACTGAATTCGAATTCGCTACAACAATAGTATCGGATCCAGCTTTTATTAGTACGGAAACCGGAGAAAAACAAATTTTGGCGCACCATATTGCCCGAGTTCGAATAGGCAGGCGGAGAGGATGGTAGCTGTGGTCATTAACTGGTTGAGGAAATCAAAAGATGGAGGGAGATGTGGGTGGCAGTGACGTATTATAATAACAGTAAAAAAGAGGATGAGAAATCTCCAGCGGAGAGTTTTTAGTAAGGAGAACAAGGATTTGGTTGAATTCGCTTAGGCCAGCAATGCAAAGAAAATAGCTGACCGAGACAAAGGATGAACCCGAATTTATGGCAGGACAGTGCGAGAGTGTTTGGGCGCAACCAAAAATGGGAGCCCGGAATGATTGTAGAAAATATGGGACGCAAATTGAGCAAAATGGAGTTTTCAGAAGGTAGAGTATTTGTTCGACACAGAGACCAACTTTTCAGAGGAGTGAAACATGGGAGATTACGATCGGTACTAATAATAGGAGAGGGTAATTGATAAGAAATTCATTTAAAAAAAATATATAATGATAATGGTACATTGTTGAAAATTTTGTCAAGGTAAAGGTGGCGGAAAAATATTTATCTTAATATAGTGCTCAATATATCCGAGGAAAATCTAAGGGGACAACTAAACTAAATATAGGCTAACTCAATACCTGGGCGATTTATAATAACAATGAAAAGGGGAATATCTACAAGATCTTGTTTAAGGGGACAAAATGGTTAATGGAATGTGCAAATAGTATGGAGCCAAGTCAAACCAAGAGGTGTTTTTTACAGGGAATCAACCATATCATCCAACAAAGAGCGAAGACTCAAGGACCTAAAGAACAACGATAAGAATGTTACTGTTTGAATCCTTGAAAATACGATGAAAGACAATCAGGTACTAGGTTGAATTGTGACGTTTGATTTTCAATTAGTGGGGGCGTGTTATGTGGGTCGTTTTTGTTAAAGCATTAATTTTTGGTGATGAATATTGTTTTTTTTGATTATCTTGCGCAATATTATTTTAATATATTATTATTTGTAAAAGAAATAAAAAGAGTAATTATATTATTTATGTCATATGTTTTAAAATTATTATTAATATTAATCAATTTATAATAAATCATTATTATTTCCTTCCAATTTTTTAGGATATTATTTTATTCAGAAATTATTTTTTGGCTTCAAAATTTATTATTTTCGGTTGCCAATTTTTAAAATAAGGAAAAAAGAAAATAAAAAGGGAAAAGAAAATGAAAAATAAAAAGTGATAAAAGGTAAAAACAGTATTTAAATACATATATAAATTTCGATAAACCAAAAACCCTGATTTCCTTCAGTAGGAACTAAGAAAAACTTCCAACTGAGCAGTTATGAAATAACAATTACAGATATCTACAAACTAAAGGTTTTATTGGTGTTTAATATTGGTACGTATAAATAAAAATATATCTTCAATTTTTAAAAAAATTAAAGTTAGGGGATAGGGTTTCATTGGTGTTTTAAGATATTGGTACATTTAAATAATATATTTGAAGCCATATAATCTATTACAAATAAATTTTTACAAATCTTAAATGACCGCCAATATATTTGAAGAGATAAATATATACATAATAAAAATAATCTTAACTTAACGAATATCCTTAAATTTACCAAGTACTATCAAATTTACAAAATTCAAAACATAAAGTTTATTTAAAATTCATCTTCAATTTCATGTATAAACAGAATTCATTAAAAAAAAAATTCATAATCATGATATAAAAAAAATATCCAAAATTTTATTATTAAATAGATTTTTGTAAAAAGAAAATTATACGCCCCGATGTCATATCTCCTCTCATTACCTAACTAATGGTCTCCTCCTAGCTTGGGACTATACTTGTGTCTATTTTGCTGCCAAGTCCAACCTCTCATTTTCTGCCATCGAAAAGGCCGAAATCCTAAAAATAACAAATATGCTTGCCTCACTAATACCCTGTTTATCCCAATTGTTACCAATACCCTAGGCATGTTCGAAAGTAATGCTCTCAATTTCATCAAAACTATAGGAAAAAAAATGAAGCAAATCTCAGGGGACCCCAATGAAGGATTTTACCTTCGCCATCAGATTTCCCTGGAAATCTGCCAGTCCAATTTTTTAAGCATTCACTCTTCTCTAGGGTGATTTGTTCACTTTTATTTTTTAATTCATTTTTAATATATTATTAGTTTTTATATATATTTTTAATTATAATTCGTAAATGAAAAATTTGTTATTTAAATAAAGTATCACATTTTTCAAAAAAATTAATTAATTATTATATAAAAAAATTACCGTCAAATTTTATCTTTATCTTCATTATTATTATTTATATTTCTTTTTTAATCAATCAACAAATATTGTTGATTTTTTTTTTAATTTTTCAAATATTCCTTTTATTTTTACTATCAAATAAAATTATATTAAAATTAGCATATCAAATATAAAATAAAATAATACATTATTTTATAAAAACGGAGGTGGGACTACAAGCAGGGTTTCGAACCGTTTAGTATAACGGTTCGGTTCGTTCCGGTTTTTAGTTTAAAATTTTATAAAGGTTTTGTTCCATTTCGGTTTTTAAAAAAAAATCATATCGGTTCGGTTCGGTTTATAATTTATAACGGTTCTTTTCGGTTTGTTCCGGTTTTTATAAATTTAATTTTAAAAAAAATTAATCATTAACCATGTATATATTAATTTTAGAGAAAAATCTTTTTAGTTTATAATTTCTTATTTAATTTATCCATGATAATCTAATAGATATTTTTATTAAATTTAGGAAATATAAATTAGACAAATTAGTTTTTTTTTATTTTATAAATAAATAAGATAAAAACAAACATGCGTAAATACAATAATGAATAAAATAATATGTATACTATACTATTTAGGTTTAAAAAGAGAATTCTAACGGATAACTAAAATATTTTCTAATATTTTAGGATTTAATTTAGTTCTCTGGGCAGAGAGTATAAACTTAAGGCTTGAAAATGCTCTTTCTATGGAGACCTGCGTAGCTGGAACTGCTAGCACATTTATAGCTAACTTATAAAGTTCTGGCATACTATTCTTTACATTTTCCCAATAATTCAAAAGATTAGTATCTTTTTCTAATCTCTCTATATTATCAAATGACCGAATTATATATTCTATTTCTATACATTTATTATAATTTTCGATGCCCTGAGAATTATTCTTATTAAGACTTTCAAGCTACTTTAATAAATCTTCAAAATCATCATCTAAATTATCCTTCGAATACGAACACGTAGGCATAGTATTTAGAATTTCAATATTCTGATTATTTAGATTTTGTACCAAGTTCCAAGTTTTACAAAGATGTTTTCTGGCGATCTCTCTTTCTTCAAAAGTTAAAAATACATTATATCTAGGGTCGAGATAAATAGCAGAGCAAAAAACTTCATTTTTGAAATTTATTTCTCGTGCTTTCATCGTAGAAACTAAAAGTCTGGTAAATGGAGTGTCTACTTTACTCGTTTGCATGAGACATTTGATCCACGCAGCATAAATATCGCCCATTGTCAATTGTTCACTTTGTAAATATTTTGTCAAAACATAAACTGGATATAAAGCTTTTAATATGTCACTAATTATTTTCCATTCATTCTCTGATAAACATTTTTCGCGATCGCTTTGGAGAGATATTTCTTGGCAAAAGCTTTTTAACTCTAGTAATCTCTCCAACATTAAATAGATAGAGTTCCATCTTGTGCAACAATCTATTAGTGATTTTTTCAAATTTAATTTTGAGAGAATAGCCATTGTTGTCTGATTTCTTATTTTTTTGCAGATGTTTCTTGCTTTATTTATAATGACAATTTCATTTGAATCTTTAATGCAATCATTAATAACTAATTGAAATGTATGTGAAGCACATCTAATACCTCTGGCATTTGGTGCAAGATTAATATTTTCAATATTAAAAAGTTCTTTATTTTCATCATGAATTATATCATTATTATTTAAATCGCCATTATCTATATCATTATTATTTAAATCATCATTAATTAAATAATCGTTAAGGTCATCATCTTCTTCATCGTGTAGTATTAATAGCTTAATTAACTTAATCATATTTGCTGCATTATCGGTGGTTATTGTGTAAATCTGCTCAATTTTTATTTCATATTCTTTTAGAACATCTAGAATAATTTTTTTAAGATATTATGATGTGTGTCGTTCTTTAATCACTTTCATGCATAGAGTCCTTAATTTTATTTTTCCGTTATTTATAAATTGAATATTGATCCCCAATATGGACCTATCATATCTAGTTGCTATATCTAATTTTAACGAATTAAGTTTTTGATATACTTCAGGAAAATTAAAATTTTAAATTTAGGTTAATAATTTAAAATTAATTATTTTTGAACCGGTTTAAACCGGTTCAAAATATTTATAACGGTTCGGTTCGCTCTTTTAATATTTTCTTCATAACGGTTCGATTAAGGTTACGGTTCAGAAAATCATAACGGTTCATTCCGGTTTTGCGGTTCGGTTCGAACCCCTGACTACAAGTTCCCCAAAATCATGAATAGTTATATTTTAAAATAGTTATTTGTAGATTTTGTTTTAAAAAATAGTATTCTTTTGGTTCTGATGTAAGGGCTCTTATCTTATCGTCTATATTTTTTAAGAATTTTAAAGTTCCGCTTGGCATTTATCCAAGGGAAGAGATAACAATCGGTATAAAAATATAATTTGTGAATTTGGAATATTTCATTGTTTTTTTTCTCGGCTATATCAACCGGATTAGAATTTAAATTTTTTGGAAAAGAAGGATTGACGTTTTAATAATTAAATTAATATAAACAAGAAATATTACAAACTAGGACATGTCACCCCTTTATGGGCCAGTGACATTTATTACAAATTATATATATTATATATTTAAATATTATTATGAAGACAATATTACTAAAATAAGAGAATTTCCATTACTATGCATCTTGATTATTATTGATATTAAGAGAATAATGAATATTAATGGCTCTACAGAGGTATGCTATATTGACATCTTCGTGTAACTTGTAAGGACGCTAATCTGCTAATAAGAATTTCCCATATCATATCACATAGCGTAAAAATGTCTGATCTCCAGTTATCTACATTTACATCATATTTATGTAATCGTGAGCTTGATCACTAGTTGTACTAATAGTCATCATGTAATTGTTGGCTTGATTTGAATAAAGATAGTCCTCCGGTAAACGTTGGCTTGATTTGAGTAACAATATTCATCAGGTAATCGCTGGATTGATTTGTATAACGATAGTCATATGGTAATCGTTAGCTTGATCCTTAACTGGTAAAAACGATCATCATCTAATAAGAATCGTCTATATAATCTTCATGGTGATTAGTATTGGTGGCATTTATATTCCGACTGACATTTGATGCTAGATTAAGACCAAAAAAAATTTCTTCTTTTTTTAAACTACTGACTATCCATGTCAGAATTGTCCTGTTATCATTTTTTTGGATCACGTTGAATGATATTAATTTAAATTACTGAAAAAAAAATTGACCAAATTTATTTTATAAAAAAATTTATCATTATTATTTTATTATTTTTATAAAAAAATCAATTATTACAATAATTAATTTGATAAAAAAAACTTTGTAATAACAAATTAAATATAACTGACACTGGTTCAATCTTATAGAGTGTTATGATGATTTAATGAAACATATTGACGATTAAATTAAAACTCATCCATATGAAAACAAAAAAGTAATAAAAGAATTTTCAATAATGCTTTTATTTTAATTATTTTTGCAAAGAAAATAATTTTATATGGATGAGTTTTAATATAATCGTCAATATGTTTCATTAAATCATCACAACACTATAAATAATAAAAAAAAATTTTATCAACACATTTCAATACTCTCTTAACAATATACACTGATAAGATACAAACAAAAAAATTCTAACACATAATCAACAACAAGGTCAACAAGTCATTAATATCCCAACATAAGTTTTTATATTCCTTTTTTTTATATAATGCAGATAATCATTTTCACAAAAATAACACATATTTCTTTTCTTATCCATATCATAAACAAATAAAAGTAACAATTTTATCATTGGTATAAACATTTTAGTTTTATCAATGACCGTTATTATTTATTTATTTTTTGAAATTTCTTACTTACTATAATAAATTATTGGCCAGTTGATTTAAATAAGATTTTTCTTCACACATGTTACATTTATCAAAAATTTATTATTATCTACGATCAATTTACTATCAATGTCACTCCTAAATTCAAGCAAGATTTTTTATAAAATTTATTTTCACATTGTAGTTAATATGGTTTAGGATGAATAAGATTTTTCTTTCCACATGTTACCATTATCAAAAATTTATTCCCTTTGTGTTCATAAAATGGATACTTAGCAACATATCGTTATTTAATTATCATTTCATTAACAATTAATGAGATAAGTTAGTAATAATAGTTTTAAGATCACGAATTTATATATATGATCGTTACTTTTCACGATCACTATATCAAATAGATGTATATTATCTAGGGGTACAATATTAACTACGCCTTGTTTTAAACAATCTAAGGGCACTTTGGTTCTTCTACCTAAGAATAATTCTACAGGTGTTATCTCTTCTCGATTTCGAGAATTGAGGTAATATAACTGAGACATGTAAGCATCATCTTTATGGTTTTCAGCCTTTTTAATCCAATTTTTAACAATTGCTACAATCCTCTTTGTCCATTCGAGCTAGGATGATATGGTGGAGCAAGAATATGTTTTGTCTGTGACTCAGTACAAAACTGTTTAAAATCTTCTCTGATGAAGGCTGGACCTCCATCAGATACTATCGTATCAGGTAAACCGAACCGGGCGTATAATTATCTTAATTTTTTAACAACAATTTTTGTGGTATAACCATACACTTCTGCATATTCTATCCATTTTGAATAAGAATCTACCACCAAAAAATATGATTTTTTGTCTAGATCGAAGCAATCGATGTGGATACGTTCCCAAGGTTTCTTTGATTTGGGCCAAATCTGCCCTACTTCTTTACGGGACATAGAGGCACAGGTAATACATGGAACACATTTCCTTATAATTTTTTAAATATCATTGCTCATACCAGGCCACCATACATATTCACGAGCGCCCAAGATTTCATTTTATCCCGACCTTGATGTCCGGCATGTAATAATCAATAATTTTACCCCGTAATTTAGAAGGAATTACATCTAGCTCTATTGCCTCGCATTAGACAATCATCCACCACTTACAATTCTTTTTCAATTTTTTTATAAATTTTACTATTATTTTTTCAAGGCTTTTTTCCTGTTAAAAATAATTTGATTTGATTCAATTCTTTATCTTTTAAAGTATTGAATTTAAAGTCTTCCAAATTAGTAGGACCACCATTTAACATATGTGATAAAGAACAAATTAATGCCTTTTCTTTATTCACTATTTTATTTGGGTTAAAGTCAAGATCTTCTTTACTGGATCCCAACCTAGATAAAATATCAAAAACAATTTTCTTTGCCAGGACGATATCTGATTTCTAAGTTGAAACTTCCCACTAATAACAACCAACGTTGTAATCTGGGAGATAACATTAATTCTCTATTATCCTTTTTAAATAAATGAATTAATGGTTTGATCTGTATAAATTATAAATTTTTTTCCAATTAAATATTCCCGACATTTGGTTAAACCAAAAATAACGGCTAATGATTCTTATTATAACCGAATATCGCGTTTCCACTTCTCGGAAAACTTTAGAAAAAAATAAAATTGGCCTTTCTAAACCATCAATAAATGTAATAAGGCGCCTCCAACACCTTTGTTAGATGCATCAACAGCTAATATGATTTCAAAATCATTGTTAAAACATACTAAAATCGGTTCTTCTTCAATTTTCTGTTTTAACATTTCAAATGCCATTTGTTGTTCATTCGCCCATTCAACTCCCTTTTGTAATAATTTATACAAAGGTACAGCAATTTTTGCTAAACCATCTAAAAATCTATATCATACCTAAAAATGATTGCAATTCTGCTTTATTGGTGGGCGGCTTCATATTTGCTATATTTTTTAAATTTTTATCAAGAGGTTTCACCTCTATTCCATTTATTTGATGTCATAAGTAGATAACTTCTGTTACCCCAAGAACACTTTTTTCTTTACTCTTGTAGTTGATGTAATTTTTGGTTCAAAATAAAAATTTTAAATTAGGCTTCTGTATATATAAGGACATATTATAATTGTGTGATTTGAACTAAAAAAAATTAATTAGTGAATAATTTAAAAACATTTTTACTTTTCTGTTACTAAAATTATATATTTCATTTTCTAACGAGAGATATAAATGGTTTTGAAATGGAAATTAGAATATGAGAAGTGTTTGAATGTGATATATCCATTTTATGATACAATATATTATATTTTTTTTATTATATATGATAATAGTCGAGTGTTAATATATTTGGCCCGACCCGGGTTTAAAGAAAAAAATTCGGCCTGGCACAGGTTGTTTAAAACTGGTTCAGGTTCAAAAAATACCACCCAGATATACCCAGGTATGGTTAGTCCGGGCCTCCAGGTCTGATAGAAATAAAAAACAAATTTTTTTGACTGATTTATCTTTTTTTAAAAAAAATCTTGTCAATTATTTATAAAATAACATAAAAGCTATATTAAATTTAAAATTTGCTTTGGAACTCATCTATTTAGGTTGATTGTAAAATTTTAAAGATGATTTAAGATCCCCACTGATTTGGGATTTTTTTTACCTATAATCTCAAAAAAATTGTAGTTTAGAGGGGGGCCTAACCTATTTGTAGAAATATCTTTTGGGGTGAAATGAAAATCTGAAAGGGCCTAGTATCTGGTTTTCTACCCTTCAACTGTTATAATCGGGTTAATGTTTGGGTTAGAAAGAACTGCAAGACATAAGTGGAATCCAAAATTTTCCTTTAAAGAAGGATCCAAATCATTAAGTATATAAACTCCGGTTCGATTAAGGCTTTAAACAAATATATAAAGGTTTTTTCAGGTTTTATATTATTTATATTAAAAATAATTAAATAAAACAAAACAAAAGATACACAAAAATATGATTTTATTAAGATAATATAATATACTAGTTATTGTACAAATTACAAAGTATAATAAATATTTAACTACTAATGAATATAAAATTAGAATTAGAACATAATTAATATGTTTTCCAAATGTACAGATTTTATATTTATCGTTGTGATGATAGAATAAATTTTAATCCCGAGAACATCCTTCAACTGAAATTTATATTGTGGGGACTGCTAGTACGGTTGAAGTTAGCTAACTCATGATATTCATATTTTTTTGACTACCAGTAAGCCAATAGGGAAATATCTTTCAGGTCTCCTTCAACCTTATCATATGAATTAATTAGAGAACCTATCATTCTATTTTTATTTTCAATTTTAAGCTCATATCACATCTTGAGACATTTTCTTGAAGCAATAATTTTTCTATTTCATCATAATTAGTTGAGAACCTTCACATAGTAGTAGAGGTGGGGCCAATATATTCTTGTTTTACACTACCCATATTTCCAGTTTTTGCTATGACATGTGCAAACCCTTTATCATTTTCAACTATTATTCCTCTATATTTTACATTTAGAACACCTTCTTAGAGGTATAATAGTACTAATGCTGTTATACAATGGGCCATTTAACTGCTTTAGCTAAACCGGATATATATTATAATTTCAATAAACATATATACAATATCGACAATGGTTGATTTGCGCTTTAAAGTATCAGGACTTAAAAAATGTTTCTTTAGGTACCTTCATTAATCTAAGGGTAGAATCAGAGACCTGCAGGCCCGGCCCTAAACCCGGGCAGGACCGGGTCGTATTTTAAATTTTTTAAATAAACCCGGGTCGGGCCTATAAAATTTTTTTTTAAACATATCCGGGCCGGGCCTAAAAATTTTTTTTTAAATATATCCGGGCCGGGCCTAAGATTGTTAAACCCGGGCCGGGCCTTAATATTTTTTTTAAAAATTTTTACATTATGAGTTAATAGTTATAAGATTATATTATATTATAGTTATGATTAATATAATATTGGGTGATGGTTAATACTACCTAACAACCCACAGATCGATCTAATTATTAATTTCCTGCAAATTTATTTAAAGTATTAATAAATTTTTTTATAATTTATATCTAAATTTTTACAACATATTTTACCAAAACAATCAAATAAAGGAATATCTTAAATAAGCCCCAATATTCAAGTATTATTAATATATTTTTTTATAATTCATATCTAAATTTTTAGAATATATTTTACCAAAACAATCAAATAAAGGAATATCACTTCTTAAAGTTTGTAATACCTTTCAAAGCGAAAAGGAGAAATAAAATTGATTTTACTTAATATAAAGCATTTTTTAATTGAAAAATTTGTTTTACACAAGTATCATTTTATTTCTCTTTTTCTCTGTCCCAAATTCAAGCAATTACATATGTAGTGGGACAGATCGCAAAATGACGGAAAACTATATAAAAGATTATATTAAATTACAAGAGGCTCAGGAAGTAAATGAAATACCATCGACCAGTCAAATTACGACTGTTGTTAAACAAACTG